GGAAGGAAGGAAGGAAAGAAGGAAGGAAGGAAGGAAGGAAGGAAGGAAGGAAGGATCTAAGGGAAGCTTCTCTACTTAACAGACTTAAGAGGTTCAAGCAACCTTGATAATCATGTAATGTTTGATTCACTTTTACCCAACAAACACATGAACATGCACACACACACACACACACACACACACAGACACACACACACAGGATCCTTGATTTTGTATATAAGACGTGATTGTTCAATGGTTGACTTTGGAGTTGCAAGCTACTTACAATAGTCCTAAAACCAAAACTTGTTTTTACAGGGCCGTTGTTCGAGAGAGAACTGCAAGTATCTTCACCCTCCAACACACTTAAAAACTCAACTAGAAATTAATGGAAGGAACAATTTGATTCAGCAAAAAACTGCAGCAGCAATGCTTGCCCAGCAGATGCAATTTATGTTTCCAGGAACACCACTTCATCCAGTGGTGAGTACATCTTATACAGTGATGAGTTGGATGGTTACAGTGTTGGTGTGGATGATGCCACATTGACCTAGGGTGGCCTCTCTCCACTTTGTCGCTTTGGCTACAATTAAAGCCAAATAGCTTTAAAGCTCAACAGATGAAGGAAAATAGGCTTTTAAAAAATTAATAGAAAAATACTTGTGGAAATAAGAGGCAAAGACAATTTCTAATCAATATCTGGGAAATCTGTATCACTCCAACTCTTTTCAACAGTAACTCCATATCTCAGCCATCTTAGAACGGAAATAGTTTTAACAGGTTCATTTACAGTGTGAATTAGTAATTTAGGTATCAGTGAGTTTGAAATGCCTAAAATATTTTGAGCCACGTAGTTCTATGGCACCATTTAAAGGATGAGGAAAGTGAGAAACCAGAGAAGTTCAATGATTTTCCCCAATGTCATGCAGCTAATAAGTCTTGGAGCTGGGACTTAGACATGTTAGCAGAGCACTTTCTGCAGTCTGTTCCAAGAAGATCCTAGTAACATCCCTCAAAGAAGGATGTCAAAGGTAACACCAGCAAGGAAGACCCTACCTGAGTCACCTAGGTCTCAACCTGCCTTTCAGAGGCCTGCAAAAGGTGTGACAGCTCTGACTATTGTCACAAGATCAAATGCCAGAGGGACTTAGCATATGAATATGTATTGCACAATATTTTTTCCCTGATTTCACCCTGTCTGAAAGTACTTCCTTAAAGGTCTGGAAATCGTTTTAGGAATGATACCCTTGGGGAAAAGGAGTGCGTTTAATTTTAGTTGGTTTCATTTACACTTGTGAATTATTTGTCAGAAACAAGCTAACTTTTTTTTTAAAAAAGAAAGACAAAAAGTATGTACACAAAAGGCTTTTGTATAAAAATCAGTCTTTATTGTAGAAAAATTCTGCATGACCGAAACCTGCTAAATTAGGAGGGACGGCTACCAGCAAATTCAATGTTCTTGTTGTGTTCCCTGTGAGATGGGGTGTGGAGGGCAGGGCCTGCACAAACAAGGGTAGAGAATTCCGGCAGGTCGTCAGCCATTCTGCTTGTCTCCAGGTTTCTGTACAGAGTAGCCAGGAACCAGCTCTGCCCAGAGTGAAAGAAATGCCAGGTGCAGAGGGCTCCAAGATAAATAAGATACAGTCTTTTGGGGATAGACAGACACAAGAAAAGGGCCAAGTAAGATTCAAGCCCAGGAAATGACGAGACTGGACAAGGAAAGCCTGCCTGGAGGAAGTCTCAAATAAGCCTCTCATAAAGGGTGAGTAAGAATTCACCCAGATTAAGGACTAGATGCAGATAGAGTTCTGAACATATTTAATCCCCAAAATAGGCATTTAAGTGGTTCTGTTTAAACTACACACATGTATAATTTATGGTTCTCTCTTTATTGATACATACATATAAACTATTTTATTAAATTACCTAAATGCTAAAATAATTTAGTTATACATATTAAATAATGTCTACAGCAATAAATTTAGAGCCAGGAAGGTCAACATAATAATGCCACATTATGTGTCTCACTTATTTGACTCATACACATCCTATTTAGAATTCATAAGGCTGACCCTGGCACTCACTCGTGGCAGTGTTGACAAGAGAATCCCATCCCTGCTGTTAACTATTAGTTGAACTTTTTTTGAAAGTTATGTTTATTATTGCCTCGAATATTAATTAGAAGTTCATAATCACCATTTCCCTCTGAAAAAGGAATATTACACTTAAATATTTTAATAGAGGTTTTTAAATCACTGGAAGTATTAGGATAAAAACTGTGACATTTAAAAATTATCAACTCCACAAACAAATTAATTCAGTCTCAGAAATGAATTAGTGACCTAGTAGAGGATAGGTGGCTGAATAATGGCTCTCAGAGGTACCTGGAACCTATAAATGTCACCTTATATGGAATCAGGGGCTTGGCAGATGGGATTAAGTTAAGAATCTTGAGATGGGGAGAATCTCCTGGATTGAATGCAATTACAAGCATCCTTATAAGAGACACTTATATAAGAGAGAGGGAGCGTTAGCTCCGACAGAAGAAGAGCAAGGCAATGTGACCACAGAGGCAGATTGGAGTGATGTGGCCACAAGCAGAGGAACGCCATCAACCACCAGAAGATGGAAGAGTCAAGAAATGGATTCTCCCCTAGAGCCTCTGGAGGGAGCGCAGGTCCTGCCAACACCTTGATTTTGGCCCAGTGAAACCAACTTGGAACTTCTGGTCTCCAGGACTGTAAAGGGATAAATGTGTGTTGCTCTAAGCCAATGGGTTTATAGTAATTTGAAGCTGTTTACAGCAGTTACCGGAAAATAATAGATGCAAAAACTGCATAAGACAAGTCAATTGATAAAGATAGTCTCAAGTATCATTCCATTTTAGGTCTCATGAACGAAGCTTCTTTACAGCACTGTGGATATTTCTTCCATTCCCTCCTTCTTCTGTCCACTCCTGAACCCATTCCCCTGCAATCTCTCACCAGTGTCCTCCACATTACCAAACCAGTGGTCACTTTTTGCCTTATTGTTGCTATGGTCTGAATGTTTGTGTCCCACCAAAATTCACGTTGAATCCTAACCTCCAAGGGCGTATGGGAGGCGATTAGATCCTGAGGGTGGAGCCCTCATGAATGGAATCAGTGCCCTTATAAGAAGAGACATGGGAGAGCCCTCACCCTCCCGCCATGTGTGGACACAGCAAGAAGGCACTGTCTATGAACCAGGGAGATGGTCCTCATCAGACATCAAATCTGCTGGCACCTTGATCTGCGGCCTTCCAACTTCCAGAACTGTGAGAAATTCAGTTCTGTTGTTTATAAGCCACCCAGTTTATGGTATTTTGTTATAAGCAGCCGGAATAGACTAAGACAATTTATTTTACCTCTCAGCAGTACTCAAGTCATGTAACCAATCTCTACTTTGTTAAACACTCCTTCCTCCATCTCCTTTGCCCACCATGTTCCTCTTCTGTATGTTGAGGTTCCAAGAGCTGGATATTTCTTTCCATCTACCCTCTCCCTTGTGGTCTCATCCATTCCTGAATCTGTCAATCATCTACAGACAGAGGACCCCCAAATGTATTTATCCAGTCCAACCTCTCCTCTGAGTTCCAGGCTTTTATATCCACCTTTCTACTGGTCTCACCTTTAAATTTCTTAAAGGAACTTGACACGTTCAAAATCAAATTCTTCCCATTTTAATAAATGGTACTCTCAACTGGCAATCTAAAACCAAAACCTAGCAGACTCTTTCCTGAAATCACTGGAAGTATTAGAATAAAAAGTGTGACATGTTTCAAAATTATCAACTCTATAAACAAATTAATTCAGTCTCAGAAATGAATTAGTGACCCAGTAGAGTATAGGTGACTCACTGACATCCAGTTCATCAGCAAGTCCTGTCATATCTGCCCTGAATCCTATCCACTCCCCTACATCTCAGTTCCCTCATCTGAGCCACCATCAACCTTTTATCACAATATCATAAAAGCATTTACTTCCTAATCTATCAATATCCACTCTTGCCTTACTCCGTTATATCCCACAGACAACAACTAGAGGAATCTTTTTAAAACATAAACAGCATCCTATCACTCCCTTATGTGCCCCTCCATGCTTTCCCATCTTACTGGGACAAAGCCGAAACTCTGACCTTAATCATGACCTATGGCTTTTGCGATCTGGTCATGACCCTGCTTACATTGCTGGGTGAACACGCACAGCTCGTGTGTGTCCCAGCCTCTGCCTTTGCTGGCCTGTCCATGTCCTAGTGCTTTTCACACATTAATCACCTCATTCATAAGGACTCCAGGTCCACCCCTGCAACCCACATGCAACCCCCAGCATTCTCTACCAGCGAGCCCTCCTCCCTTTCTGCTTATCCACACAAACGAACTGTAATTTTGTTTGTTTTCTTCTTTCTTATTAGGGCTTCAGTTCAATCAATGTACGCAGTGTTCTGGCACCATGTCTGCACCAATAAATATTTATTAAGGGAATGAAAATTCAAGGCATTCTCTCCCCTTACAACCCTTCTGCCTCAAATTCACAATGCTTGAAAAGTCCCCTTCATTTATTCCTCCTAGCAGCTTTTCTCTCCCCAATTCCTGATAGGTGAGGACAGGAATTCTTCCCCCTTCCCTTCCCAGAGCGTGCACAGCCTTCATATGTGCACTCAAGATAAAGAAGCAAGTGTGAGCTACCTTTGGGAGGATGGAGATGGAAGAACCCCGAAGGGACAAGTCTTGCTTGAGTCTTGTGCCCTCCGGAGCTGCTTCTGGCAGTAGAGGGAGGAGGCTTAGGAGACGCCATGTGTCAGCCTTTTAGCGTGAGTGCCAGGCACCTACCCTTTAAAGCAGACACGTTCTAAAAGAGTGGGACGACGGCATTCTTGCCTATTGACTGGACTTTTGAGCCATGAAATACCTCAGGCCCTTGGCTAAGCCCCGTTGCTGCTACAAAATAGCAAAGAATGTGCATGTGTGCGTGAGTGTGTTGTGAGTACGTGTGTGTAGTGAGTGTGCAAGTGTGTATATGTGTAGTGAGTGTATAAATGTGTGCAAGTGTGTTGTGAGTGCATGTGTGTTGTCTGTAGTGTGTGTTGCATGTGTATTGTGTGTGTTGTGTGTAGTGAATGTATTACGTGTGGTGTATGAATGTGTGTGAGTATATGAGTGTACATGAGTTTGTTGTGTGCATGAGTGTCCTGTGTGTGTAGTGTGTTATGAGTGTGAGAGTACATGAGTGTGTTATGTATACTGAGAGTGTGGAGTGCTGTGTGTGTAGCGTGTTATAGTGTAAGTGTACATGAGGATATTGTGTGTATGAACATATGTGAATGTGAGTGTATGAGTGTACATGAGTGTGTTTTGTATGTATGATCATATGTGTGTTGTGTGTGAGTGTACATGAGTGTTGTGTGTTGTGGGTGTGTGAGCATGAGTGTACATGTATGTGTCTTGGTGTGTGTATGTGAGTGTACATATGTTGTATGTGTATAGTGTGAGTGTACATCAGTGCATTGTGGATGTATGTGTGTACTGCATGTATGTGTGTACGTGAGTATATTGTGAGTGTATATTAGTGTGTTGAGTGTATACAGTGTGTGTGTGTACGAGTGTGTTGTGTATGTGTGTGGTGTATGTGCGTACATGTGTGGTGTATGTATTGTGAGTGTACATGTGTTTTGTGTGTACACGAGTGTGTTATTTTATGTGAGTGTATAGTGTGTGAGGGTACAAGTGTGTGTGTTGTGTGTGTATTGCGTGAGTGTACGAGTGTTGGGTGTGAACGTGTGTGTTGTGAGTGTATGTCAGTGTACGAGGGTGGTGTATTGAGTGTATGCAAGTGTATGTGACTGTGTTGTGTCCATAGTGTATATGAGTGTACGAGTGTGCTTGTGTGTGTGTATTGTGTGTAGTGAGTATATGTGAGTGTACATGAGTGTGTATGTGTGTTGTGAGAATGTATGTGGGTGTGAGTATACATGAGTGTTTTGTATGTGTGTGGGAGGTATAGGTGTGTTGTATGTGTTGTGTGTGTATGTAATGTGTGTTGTATGTTGAGTGTATGAGTGTACATGAGTGTTGTGTGTACGAGTGTTTGTGTGTATTGTGTGTATGTGGGTGTGTTGAGTGTATGTGAGTGTACATGAGTGTGTTGTGAGTGTGGTGTGAGAGTACAAGTGTGTGTAAGTGTATGTGTGTTGTGTGTATGTTTTGAGTATGTGAGTATACGTGAGTATATGTGTATCTGAGTGTATAGTGTGTATATGTGAGTGTACATGAGTGTGTTGTGTTTCGAGTATACAAGTGTGCATGTGGTGTGTCTGTGGGTGTGTTTTGAGTGTGTGTGAGTGTACATGCTTTGTGTGTGTGTTGAGTGTATGTGTGAGTGTATGGGAGTGTGTTGTATGAGAATGTGTTGTGTATATGAGCGTGTTGTGTGTGAGTGTACGTGTGTTGTGAGTGTATGGGAGTGTGTTGTGGGTGTGTATGAGTGTGTGTTGTATGACTACGTATTGTGTAGTTGAGTGTGCGTGAGTGTGGGTGGGTGTGTTCGCCATCTTTGAACCTGGACCTTATGTCCTGGAAAGGAAAGCAGGGCATGGAAGACTGCGGAGAGAAACACAGGAAGGTGGAGTGGAGAACAGGGGCAGGAAATCGCAAGACCAGCATTTCAGAAGCGATTTTCTTCAAGAAGGCTTCCCGCGAATCTTGTCCTCTGGCCTCTTTAGCTGTGGCTTTGAGCTGAGAGATGACGTGGACCAAATGGATCCTGTCTCAGACAGCCTGGCAACAGCACTTCTGCAGAAACTGCAGGGCTAATTCTCCCAAGCTGTAGTTGGTACGCTTCCAGGAACAGAATCATTGGAAGGTGCTGCCCTTCTCTTTTCTCAGCCGCCGGCTGAGAACCAAACTCAGACACCGGGATCCGTTGTTGGCCGAGATCATACCTCGGGAGTTTAATTTGAATTCAGGATCTGAGAACCACTTTTCCAAGGCAGCAGGCCCCACACCTCCTGTCTGCAGACGGCCCAGGCTGACTGTGGGACGCGTTCCTGTGCAACTCTCCACCAACGCTCTCTGCATTCGCTCCAGAAACATACGGGCAACTGATTTGGAGGGGGCTGCTTTTCCTCTTTTGTTTTAAGAAGTAACCAACAAAATCTAGTAATCGCAAAAGGGTGGACACGGCCTCAGACTAGGGGCCAGGGGTCCCGGGTGTTCTGCCTTGACTTTGCCTTGCAGCATTGACCTTGGGTTATCCATTTAGTGTCTCTCCTCTAAATTGTTTTCACCTGGAAGGCTGGGCAATTCTTGCTGCCGCACTTGCTTCTCATGGATTTGAGAAAATTAAAGAAGACAAGTGTGAGAATGCCTTGAGAACAACCAGAACCTTTCACAGATGTAAAGCATTATTATCCACAATAATATTAACACGGAGTGAGCCTCTCTGCAAATCACCGTAACTATATATTTTAACTAATCAATGAAAAACACGCTACATCAAAAAGGAACATATCCTACTGCGTTTGTCTTCGTAAGGCCTGTGAACTTGCAACTTTCAGTTTCATGTGACAGAAAATATTTTTTTCAGTCCACATTTCAAAAGGAAAGAGAAAATTTTTGCTATAATTTTACTCACTTTCATACCCTTACTGTACTGCTATGCTCATTACATCCCTGTTGTAGAACTGTTAGATAATTTGAGGCCAAAAAACCCTTGATCAACATTGATTTTTACAGTAGTAATGAGAGCTGCTTTTTATTGAGTTCTGACCATGGGAAATAGGAGCGCAATAACACCTTGTTCTGCCCAACGCTTCCAGCTAAGTAGTTTCATTTCCTCATTGCAGATAAGAAACTGAAAGCCCAGAGAGGTTAAGTTCCTCCCCAGGTTAAAAGGTAGTAAGTGTCAGACCACTAGATTTGAATTCAGGTCTCTCTGAGTCTAAAATCTATGGTTTTACTTTAAAATAATACTATTTCTCTGTGAACTATGTTATTGCCATCATCAATAAAACATACTGGAACTCTCATTTTAGACTATGAAATCAGATGAACAAGTAACATAGATTTTTGAAGGCAAAAGTTAGCTAATTGGAATAGATTTGTCGATATCCAAATGGTTTCGGGAAATGAGTTTTGAGGTTCTCAATCCTGTCGACAAGGCAAAGTACAACCCGTATTTATGGTACCACACTAACCCTGGCTTCAAATGATCTGTGGGCTGGGAGGGATAAGAATTTGCTTCCAGAGAAAATGAAAATGGAAGTATGGGGGAGGGCTCTTTTATCTAAATGTTTATGTTGATAATTAGTCTCTGGGTTAAATTACACATTTACTGCAAGTTTTTTAATACTATTTTCACTCCTCACATATGACAATGGTCCCCAAATTTGGCGACGCATCAGATCATCTAGTAAAATTTCTAAAATTCAAATATCAAGGTCTCAGCCTAGATCTATTGGGTCAGAATTTCTCTCTATTTGTAAAATCTCCCCCAGGCATTTCTGACAGAGCTGGTCCACTGAATCACTGATGTGCTGTGATTTATGACCTTTCAGAATTGATTCTTTTAAAAAATCCTAACATTACATAGTCCTTAGACCATTTAAATCACTTGGCTTTTTCTCCAGTAGTACTAAATTATAAAAGCTACAGTTACTGAAAATCATAACTTTCTATAATTATGACTCAGTGAGTAACATACACATATAAATGTTTGTTGACAGTCAAGGAAGAAAAAAATCCTAACTGCCATCTATTTCCCACATTCAGACCTCATGTTGCAACTTTCTCCCAAAATGGATTTTACGTCGGAGCCATAAAGATCTAAGAGCTCCTTGCGGGAGAGTACTGAGCCAGGACCCCTCTAAGAGCACTAGAACTACCCCTTCTAGCCACTTTGAAAATAGGCTCTCCTGCCTATCTGATAAATGCCTGCACAAACTATCAATAATTTACTCTTTTCTATCATGACTTTTCATAAGAAATATTTTTCTGTTACTGCTATAAAGAAAAAGTATGTTTACTAAACGTAGGTTGTTATTTTTCCCATATGTTAAACAATTCATCCAGTCATAAATAGACAAGAAGAATGTCACCCACAATGTAGAAACAGAGAACAAGCATGACACAGCATAGTTCAACGTTAAAAGTGTGACAAGCAACAGTAAAGTTCAGTGTTAAAAAATTGCATTAATATATAATTGCAAATATCTGAAATCAAATAGGTTAAAAATCATCTGTAATTAACAATCAACCAAACAAACGAAAAGAAGCATTCAGGTTCAATTTGGTGTACAATTTATTCTAAGAAAAATCTTTAGCATTTTAAATTACTTAACAAGGTTTGTTCTCTTAAATGTACATTATTTCCTTTCTAAAAGGCAGAATTATTTACATATTATTAGGTGGAGCTTTTAAAACTAATCATCACGTCAACCCACTAGCATATTTCTTCTTTTTCCTAGATGAGGAATATAGGGTCAGAGAACAAATTTAATAAGGTTCTGTATGCTCCTGTCACTGCTGTGTTGATTTTGTGACCTAGAAAACCAAACCAACTTTTAATGGCCAATCAAAAAATTGTTTGATTAAAAAACTCTTCCAGAAAATCTTTCAGGAAGGGAAGACTGACTGGATCTAGATGTAGTTGAACTAGGGCAAGAAATTGTAGGTTTATTTGAAAACTACATTTGAGTTTTGGGAATATACATGCTAGTGATGGAATATGGAAACATACTGATAAGTCTGGGCAAAATAAAATTGCAAGTAACCCCACTGTTTGAAAATGCATAGACTTGGCCAACTTGAAAATCAGCCTGTAATCAAAGGGTTTCGTGACTCCTCTCCCTTTGAGAAACATGTAGAATAAATCAAAGATTATTAGTTGGTATTCTATAGCTTTTACTACCTTAGTGTTATAACATTTAATAGTTTAGAATGTTGAGTAATTGGAGTCGAAATTATTTTCTTTTGTTGAGAACACTTTCATAGGGACACAAGCTTAATCTAGTTCCTGTAACTAGAGGTTTTTTATGATGTTCTCTCACATTTCTATATGGTTTGGGGAAGAGAGGGTCTACATAGATTTCATTTTTATTACAGGTCAGCATTGAGCTATACAACTAACATAAAGAGTATATGATGAATACATTTTGCTCAAATGACATTTCCTGGTAATTTTTTAAAGTTTTATTCTAAAGAACTCTTTCTCCTGTGTTGTCTTCCTTTAACAGCCCACTTTTCCTGTAGGTCCCGCGATAGGGACAAATACGGCTATTAGCTTTGCTCCTTACCTAGCACCTGTAACCCCTGGAGTTGGGTTAGTCCCAACGGAAATTCTGCCCACCACACCTGTTATTGTTCCCGGAAGTCCACCGGTCACTGTCCCGGGCTCAACTGCAACTCAGAAACTTCTCAGGACTGACAAACTGGAGGTACTTCAATTCTATTTGTGTTTTGAGATGCATTTGTGGTAGAAGTATACTTCTGTATAAGTGATTGCTTGTAAGATGTTAATTCAGTCCTGCAAAACAGCCATGTAAACACACACACACAAACTCTCACCTAAAACCCATGCATTTATAACTCTATGGTTTGAAGTTAAGGCCAAGTATAAAGGAAATTAGTCTATGGAAAAGACTAGTTTTAACACAAACAAAAATCAGCTGCATGGAATATGCGTTTAAGGGAAAAATATTAAACAATCAATGGAACAGTGACTCAATCATGATGCAGCCTATACAGATGGCTCCAGGTCCTGAAGGCCTCCTCATGTCAAGATCTAACCCTTGCAAGACCCTGGAAAGTTCTGGAAACTGGTGGGCAGGAGCCCAGCAACCAGGACAGCCAAGGACACTCAGGGAGAGTGGTGGGAGGAAGTGGGACTACACCTATTTACCAGCTGGTATGATCATATTTCAATATCTCAAGAACAAGCATGGCTGCTCTAGTATGTTCTGGCATATTAGTTCTGATTGTGTTGTTGCTAAACAGGGGAAATTGGAGGATAAGTAAATTTAGTTTTTTGTTTTGTTTTGTTTTGAGACAGAGTTTTGCTCTTGTTGCCCAGGCTGGAGTGCAATGGCCCAATCTCGGCTCACCACAACCTCCTCTGCCCAGGTTCATGTGATTCTCCTGCCTCAACCTCCCAAGTAGCTGGGATTATAGGCATGTGCCACCATGCTTGGCCAATTTTGTATTTTTAGTAGAGACAGGGTTTCTCCATGTTGGTCAGGCTAGTCTCGAACTCCCAATCTCAGGTGATTCACCAGCCTCGGCCTCCCAAAGTGCTGGGATTACAGGCATGAGCCACCACACCCGGCCCATAAATTTAGTTATTAATTGAGATTTTTCTTTAACCTCAATTGTTCTATAACATTCAAGAAAACAAGTTCCTATGTATAAAAAAACATTCTTAAGTTATGAATCAAACTAAACCTCCTGTACTTTGTTAGGTAAAATTTCTCTTTAATCAGAGCTATAGAACTCATCTATCTTACTGCTATATCCCTGTGATATTCACTACAGCATTTTATAAGGGTGTATAAAGATTCTCATAGATTTTTCAGAGAGCTCCTTTAATTTCATTACTGATTAAAGGTGTTAGGTGACGCATCCGGTTAGGACGTAAATACACAGTGCTTTCTGTTAGTGGGATTATTAGAGAATGTTCTTTCAATGTGCATTTGTTTAAATATTAACCCAATAAACTTTGAGGGCAATAAAATGTGGCTGCCTAATAACCTGTGAAAGTTTTAAAACTCAGAATTTCAAACTGCAAATATTTTATAGGATATTTATTTTTTAATTTAGTTTCCATCTGGATGCCCAGATGAAGAGAATGAAACTCTAATTGTTACTATTTTGAAAAGATCCAGCCTATCATTGTCAATTACTGTATAGACCTTTCACAGGACTGGAAAAGTGTTTTGGGCTCCACCTGCTGGACCCACGGAGCTTTTATGTTCAGTATGTGACTGTATTTTAGAAAACAAATTAAATCAGCGGAATTGGGAACAAATAGTCCTTCCCAACAGGGCTGGTAGACAAAGACATGTAAAAATGAATCACAATGATTTTAGCAGAGCGACTTTTGGTTCATTTCAAACCAGGAATTAAGTCAGCTGCACACAGAGCACCTTGGTAGGAGCTTGAGGGCTGGTCCACACTTATGATGCTATCAGACAGAAGTCATTCCACTGATGGAGGAAGGCTTGCTCAGAATCTGTGGGAACATCTTAGTGATTTTTTATTTTGTGCATTTTATGAACTAAAGATAGAATGTTGGCTAATATCCAAGTAGGAGGAAACAATTAACAATCTGGTGATTCATGCTGTTACCTTCAACCTGGCCTGGTAACTGGTCAGTGAAACAGTATTTCCTAAGATTGTCTGACATTCACAATACTTGAATTTCATGTCAGGGGCCCTTCATATAACATCACTAATGATCAACATGATGATCACTTACATATCCACTTTGGAATTGGAGCCTAAAAAGAAATAACTTACAATTCTATGCATAATTATTTCCTGCTAATATTTATAAACAGAGAAGAATTATACAAGCAATATACATATGTTATGTATGCTATTTCATGTTATCTATATTCAGGGAATAATTAAGAATACTCTTCAAATTCTAAAGAAATATTTTTTCACACAGTAAAATCTTGATCCACCAGAATTCTCAGGGGTGGAGAATCCTAGTTACTTGAGATTTCAGGATAATTTAGCATTAAAGAATTTTAAAAATAAACTATTTCCCTACATTTCTTTCTCTATAACTCTTGCCATATTTCTCTCTTTTGTCTTTTTTTTTCTTTTCTGTGCTGTCAAAAATAGTATAGTGACCTTAAAAATGAAAATTTTGGTGTCTTAGATATTGTTCTTCTGATTTATGATTATGTTATCTTTGTAGAGCAGGAGAGAAGGAGTGGGAAACAGGAATGTTCAGATTCACCCCACCCCACCTCCTCAGAGAGAGGAGGAACATGTTTGTCGTCATTTTCCCTGATTCTTTTTGTACAGCTATGACCTGGTAGCTTGATCGATGGTGAAATTATCCCTCCACACACAAAAAAAACCCTATAGCATTCTCAGAATTGTCATCCGAGCAGGAGATTGAAGATATAGAGAGAGGTAGATAGATTATAGGTGATTGGCAGACAATAGATTATTGGTAGGTAAGCAAGTATATACACAGGTAACTAGATTAGATAGATGATTAATTAATTGATAGATTTTAGATAGATAAGTAGATGATAGATGATGGCTGGATGGACAGATGATGGATGGATGGATGATGGATGGATAGATGGATGGATGGATGGATGGTAGGTAGATAAATGGTAGATAACATTAGTAATTGCAGTTTTTACCATTAAAATAATGATCGATTAACAGATAATAGATGGATGGATGGATGGATGGATGGATGGGTGGATGGATAGATGAATAATAGATAATAGATGGATAGATCGATAGATGATAGATAATAGATGATGGATGAATGAACAGATGGATAGATGATTGGATAGATTGATGGTAGATGATAGATAAAGGAATGGATGCATGGATAAATAGATAGATGACAGATGATAGATACATGGATGGATGGATAGACAGACAGATAGATAGACAGACAGACAGACAGATAGATAGATAGATAGATAGATAGATAGATAGATAGATAGCTGCATAATATGCCACCCAGGGACAATGGAGGCCTTGTTGCTTTTCCTTTGTTATTTTAGCTGAACTGCAGATTTCGGATTATTTTCTCAATATAGATTTTCACCCTAGAAAAGGGGGTAAAACAAAACTCAAATGAGTGTCTCAGAGATTGTGGTTACCTGGGTTCTGGATAATCAGTCTTTTCTTATCAGTGGTTCAAGAGCCACCATTGAAAGCGAGGCAGCCTCCGCTCCTCCCGCGGTGGCCGGGGCCGCAGGGGCGCCTGGGCTCAGGCTTGCCTCTGCAGCGCGGCTCTTATTCCCTGTCTTAGGTATGCAGGGAGTTCCAGCGAGGAAACTGTGCCCGGGGAGAGACCGACTGCCGCTTTGCACACCCCGCAGACAGCACCATGATCGACACAAGTGACAACACCGTAACCGTTTGTATGGATTACATAAAGGGGCGTTGCATGAGGGAGAAATGCAAATATTTTCACCCTCCTGCACACTTGCAGGCCAAAATCAAAGCTGCGCAGCACCAAGCCAACCAAGCTGCGGTGGCCGCCCAGGCAGCCGCGGCCGCGGCCACAGTCATGGTAAGTGCGGCCGCCCGCCGCCCCTGCACCCTGGCGCCTCTGCGGAGGCCGCTCCGGGCTGGGACTTGGATGTTCTTCCCAACACTCGGGAAACATGGAAGGCTGCTATTCCTGCTGCTCCGCTGCCTAAGTTTTGCTGTTGTTTTCCCCCTTTTTGTTTTGTTTTGTTTTCCCCTCCTGCCCTTCTTCAGCACAATAAGTAAATCCCTCAGGTGCAGGGAAAGTCCTGGGGTCCCTGAGCCCCGTTCCCCACTCCCAGGGCAGCGGAGATTGAGTGTGCTCACTTAGGGTCTTCTTAAGAGAGGCTCAGGGCCTTGTAATGAACATGAAGGGCACCGCTTCAGAGAGAGGAAAGAAAGGCGCATTTCTGCACCTGAGCACCAGGAGGCAACCAGCTCCTTGGAGCAGCCGCGGAGGACAGCTGTGGCCTAAGAGAAGCCCAGCGAGTGATCTGGCTTTTCGCTACTCCCATTCTCTCCTCTTCTTGCACTTATCACAAGGGCAGTGCTGGTCACATTCTCTACCGCAGTGAGATTTTATGCAGAATAGCAATGAATGAAACAGATGAAAGTGGAGCCATCCTGGCTGATGCAGGAAAAAAAAAAAAAAAAAAAAAAAAGACCTGTGACCTAGGCTTGCTTCCCTGAGTCACCTACTGTCATTAGAGACCAGAAGTATATCATTATCATGGCCTGGGAGGCTGCTCAGAATCTCAGGGAGCCTAACTGTCCCTTAGAGACCAGATGCACCATTATTAGGATCACCCAGAAGCCTGTGGAGCCTCCAGAATCCTCAGCCTCGCCCCAGACCTCAGGGAATCAGAATTTAAATTGTAAAACATCCCCCAGGTGTTTCGTATGCACATTAACATTTGAGAAGCACCTGCCTAGACACTGCTTATCAAACTTGGCTACATTTTGGAACAACCTGAAGGGTCTGACCTGACATCTGTCCCTTTCCCTGAAGTTTCTTATTTTCTTATTTAGTTGGTCTGGTGTGGCCTGAGCAGTGAAATTTTTTTTTTTTTTTTTTAAAGACAGGGTCTCTGTCATCCAGGCTGGAGTGCAGTGGAATAATCAGGGGTCACTGTAGCTTTAAACTCCTGGGCTCAAGTGATGCTTCCACCTCAGCCTCCTGAGTAGCTGGGTCCAGGCCCACCTAAGTTCTAAATTTTTTTGTAGAGACAGGGTCTTGCCATGTTGTCCAGGCTAGTCTCAAACTCCTGGGATCAAGCAATTCTCACATCTTTACCTCCCAACGTGTTGAGATTACAGGTGCGAGCTTCCACACCTGGTGACAGTGGCATTTTTTAAAAGCTCCCAGGTGATTCCAATGCACCACAAAGTTTGAGAACCTCTGCATCAGGTTGCAGAAGTTTCTAATTAATTTGTTTTCACGTGAGTTCTCTGGCTTATCAGAAGTCTGTGTTAATATGTGATAGGCACTATGCATTCATTCTTTCAAAAAATTTAATGAGACCATGCATCTGGCACTTGCTGGGTAGAATAAATAAATCAGGCAGGTTTCCTTGCCCTCAAGGAGTTTGGAGTTAGTAACTGAGAGCAATAAAATGCTCCTCAATGACATGATAGAAATGCTTAATCGGGTCCAGAAGGCATGAAGGACTCAGTGGTCAGTCCTCCCTCAAGGAGAGCTATGACTGCAGAGATGAAAAGTACAGTTTGAAAACACCTTGTTCTAGCTAGCAACCACCACCTCATACACTGATTACTGATTAAAATGGAAGGGTAGCTGTCACACAAACAAGTTCACCATTACTCAACATTGTTTGCACAAATGTTTATTAAGGCACGGACCTGCAATCAGTGATAGGGATACAGCAAGAAAGGCAACGTCTGCCCTGAAGTAATCACTGGGTGTGGAGCATGTGGTTATAGAGACCTTTCCAATCTGAGCTGCTTATTTCCATGCACCTTGAGCACAGGGCGCTTCATCTAAATCACTGTTTTTGTTTTTGTTTAATCTCTGAGTCCTTTTCTTGTCCATTTAGTGTCCTTTCCTCTTGTCCTTCTCATGCTTATGTTATTGGACATAATGCTGATTTTTCTGAGTGTGAATTCCTATATATGTGGAGATGTATGTATCTACACAAGAGGGTCAATAAAAAATAGAGAAATTCTCCCCTTTTTTGTTCTAGTAAAAGAGTAGTTTCCAAAACTCATTTTAATTGGGAATGGGAAGGAGGGGAGTAAACTGATCACTTAAGGCTGATAAAAAAGGAATTCTTTTAGAGCACAAATGAGGCCCCTGACACATTTTGCCAATGTGGAATCCATTCTACTATCCACCTAGTGAGGATCTCAGCCCATAAGAAGTAAGATTTTTTTCATTGTAATCATTATTTTAGGCCAGCTCCAACTTATCATAATTGGTGTGTTGATTAATAGGCACTAAGAACATATTTTTTCATACAATTTGTTTATTTGTTTGTTTTTTGAGACAGAGTCTTGCTCTGTCACCCAGGCTGGAGTGCGGTGGCACGATCTTGGCTCACTGGACTCTACTTCCCAGGTTCAAGAGATTCTTAGGCACCAGCCTCCCGAGTAGCTGGGACCACAGGTGCATGCCACCATGCCTAGCTAATTTTCGTATTTTCAGTAGAGATGGGCTCAGGAATGCCTGGGTTCAGAAACTTCAGACCCACCAGGTCACTCTCTTCTTTCCCTTGCCTGCTTCTCTTACTATAGCCACACCATTCTCTAAGGTCAGCTTCTCTACAGGACCTGGGATCAAGGCTTTGGACATCTATAGGGATGCATTCTTACATCTTTTGACAAGGGAGAGAATGGTGTCTTTTATACCAGCTCAAATTAGATATTGGAGCGGGGGAAGAAGTTAAACGTCATTTTGGTGGCTGTCCCTGTGGTCAGTGACAGGATGCTGTGATTGACTCAGCCTGGGTCCCAGTGGCTATCCTTGGTCACTGAGGTATGGAATGAGGCGCTGATAATATGAAAATATTAGTCCTTCAAGTAAAAGTATATCACAAAGATATTGTGGGTTTGGTTCCAGACCACTGCAATGAAGCGAGTATCACAATAGAACAAATCACATGAATGTTTTGGTTTCCCAGTGCGTATAAAAGTTATGTTTACACTATACTGTGGTCTATTAAATGTGCAAGAACATTATGTCTAAAGAATATATACACACCTTAATTTTAAAATATTGCTTAAAAAATGCTAACCAACAATCTGAGGTTTTAGTGAGTCGTATCTTTTTGCTGGTAGAAGATGTTGCCTTGATGTTGCCTTGATGTTGATGGCTGCTGACTGATCAGGGTGGTGATTGGTGAAAGTTGTGATGACTGTAGTAATTTCTTAAAAATAAGACAACAATGAACTTTCCCACATTGATTGACTCTTCCTTTTATGAAAGATTTCTCTGTAACATGCAATGTTATTTGATAGCATTTTGCCCAGAGTAGAACTTCTTTCAAAATTGGAGTCAATCCTCTAAAACCCTGCTGCTACTTTGTCAACTAAGTTTATATACTTTGCTAAATCCTTTGGTGTCATTTCAACAATGTTCACAGCATCTTAGCCAAGAGTAGAACCCATCTCAAGAAACTACTTTCTTTGCTGCTCCATGAAGCAACTCCTCAGCCATTAAAGTTTTATCATGAAATTGTAGCAATTCACTCACATCTTCAGGCTCTACTTCTATTAAGAATTCTAGTTCTCTTGCTATTTCCATTATATCTGCAGTTACTTTCTCCATTTAAGTCTTGAACCCCTCAAAGTCTTCCACGAGGATTGGAATTAACTTCTTTCAAACTCCTGTTCATGTTGATATTTTGATCTTCCATGAATCATGAATATTCTTAATGGCATCTAGAATGGTGAATCCTTTACAGGTTTTCAGTTTACTTTGCCCAGATCCATCAGAGAAATCACTATCTATTGCAGCTACGGTCTTACAAAATTTATTTCTTAATTAATAAGACTTGACAGTTGAAATAACTCCTTGATCCATGGGCTGCAGAATAGCTGTTGTGTTAGCAGGCATGAAAACAATATTAATCTCCTTGTACATCTCCACCAGACTCCTTGGGTGATGAGGTACATTGTCAATGAACAGTAATAATTTTGAAACAAATCTTTTTTTTTCTGAGCAGTAGGTCTCAACTGTGGGCTTAAAACATTCAGTAAACCATGTTGTCAATACATATACTGTCATCCAGGCTTTGTTGTTTCATTTCTAGAGCATAGGCAGAGTAGATTTAGCATAATTCATAAAGGTCCTAGAATTTTCAGAATGGTAAATGAGCATTCAACTTAAATTCACCAGCTGCATTAGCTTCTAGCAAGAGTTGGCTGCTGTATTTTGAAGGTTTGAAGCCAGTCTTGACTACTCTGTAGCTCTGAAAGTCCTAGTTGACATCTTCCAATATCTGGCTTTTTTGTCTACATTGACATCTGTTCTTTAGTGTGGCCACCTTCATCAGTGATCTTAGCTAGATTTTCTGAATAACTTGCTGCAGCTTCTCCATCAGCCCTTGCTGCTCACCATGCACTTTTATGTTATAGAGACGGCTTGTTTGCTTCAACCTCGTGAACCAATCTCTGCTAGCTTCCAACTGTTCTTTTGTATCTTCCTCTCTCCTTTCAGCCTTCATAGAATTGAGGAGAGTCAGGACCTTGCTCTAAGTTAGGTTTTCAGCCAGCATAGTGGCTCCTGCCTGTAATCCCAGCACTTTGTGGGGCAGAGGTGGGTGGATCACTGGAAGCCAGGAGTTTGAGACCAGCCTGGCCAACATAGTGAAACCCCATCTCTACTAAAAATACAAAAATTAGCTGGGCATGGTGGCACACGGCTATCATTCTAGCTACTCGAAGAGCTGAGGCATAAGAATCGCTTGAACCTTTAAAGGCAGAGGTTGCAGCGAACTGAGATCGTGCCACTGCACTCCAGCCTGGGTGACAGAGTGAGACTCTGCCTCAAGAAAATAAATAAATAAATAAATAAATAAATAAATA